AGTGGAATATTATGCTACCTTGAAGAATAACAAGGAAGCTGCAAGCCACCACATAACATGGATGCACCTTGAGGACATTATGCTGAGTGAAATTAGTCAGTCACAAAAGGACAAATGTTGCATAAGACCATTATTGCAAAAGCTTATGAAAAGATGTTGTTGTTGTTGTTATGTGTCATGGAGTCGGTTCCGACTCATAGTGACCCTGTACAGGATTTCCGAGGCTATAAATCTTTACGGGAGCAGAAAGTCTCATCTTTCTCCCGCGGAACAGCTGGTAGTTTCGAACTGCTGACCGTGGGTTTCACAGCCCAATTTGTAACCACTACACTATGAAAAGATACCCATACTAAAAGGGAGGGGGAGTTAATACATTTATTTGTGGTGCCTTAATGTGGAAGCAAGAGTTCCTTTGTCCCATGAATAACAATGGGAACTAAATATATTTTAAATTTGTTCTACCAAGAGTGAATATTTTATGTAGACACCTTGGTGACTTGTTCAACTTAAAATATTATATGCAGTCTTTAATGCAGATGAATTTATTAGAAATCATAGCTGTAGGAGTCCTGGTGCGGTGCTGGAGGACAAGCACTCGACTACAAGATCGGTTTGAACCGTAAGGTTGGTGGTTCAAACTCACCAGCCACTCCTATATGGGGTCACTGTGGGTCGAAACCAACTCAGTGGCACTTAACAACAACAACAATAGCTATAGGATAAGTATTGTAGGCTTATGGCACTGTGGGATAAGCACTGCTAACCATAGGGTTGGTGGTTTAGACCCACCAGCCGATCCTTGGAAACTATATACAAAGTTGCTATAAGTCAAAATGAACTGACTCAATGGTACTTAACAACAACATGTACCAAGTATTTACTATAGGCTAGAGGCTGTGTTAAGCATTTTGCACGTATTATCACGTTTATTTCCAACAGCAGCCATAGATGGTAGGTTCCTCTTCATTTTTATAGGTGAATAAACTGAGGTACAGAAATGCCCAATGTCACAGACTACAGTTTAGCACATCAGGGACTCAAACCCAGGCATCTGCCTCCATAGCCATCTTTCTTAATTGCTATTCTGACTCTCAAATATGTTGATTTAATGAAAATTAAAAATGATTTATAACCAGATGTCACTCTTGTTCATAGTCTTCATGTTGGCTTTAATTTGGGGAGAAAAAAAGAAAAAGAAACAGGAAAATCAAAAAGCCCACTTAAGTTTTCCATAATTATTATTTTCAGATGAACTTATCCATTGACTGAATCTATTTACTGTCTTTATCTCCTGCCTTATTGGGCATTATGTTCAATTCCACAGTCTCCTTTCTTATGACACTTCCCTAGCCATTTTTTCTGTTTAGACACAATGCTCTGTTCTGAGCAAATCTAAACCTGAAAGTTTACAAGCAGTAATACTATATTTTAGGGAAATTAGTTATTAATTTAACTGTATCACAAATTTATTATTACCTACATTTCTAAAGAAGATTGTGTTTTAATTCAATTTTGTGCCCTTTTCAGATTTTGAGATACTTAATAATTCACTGGGAATGTGAAAAAGCAGGAGTTTTGCTAGAAGGCCAGCTAGTGATTTCCACAGAAGCGTTAAACTCAAAGCACCGGGCAAATGTTCTTCATTGTGTAACAACTAGTAAGTGGAGAAAGAAAATTATTCATTCCCTATCTTTGTTTAATCATGATTTATAATTTATTTTAAAATTTCAATTAGTCATAATCTTTTATCAGATCATCCTGGGGTGCTCCCATAGTTTGAAAACTTAAATGATTATATAATAAGTATCTGGAACACTGAATGGTTTAAAAT